TAAAATTTTCACAAAAATAAATAAAGGTTTAACAAAACACCATACGACACAGGCACCACGCTATGACCAATCAAACAGAAGTTTTTGTGGAAGGGTCACTCATCCATGTTTTATTGGGTATCAGCGCTGATTTAGAGTTGTCACAGAGGAAACTTGGCATATTAAAGAAAGAAGGAGGATAATAATTCTTCTGTCGCAATGGCGGCAGGGAGTTAATATGAAGAGTTTTTATGGTTTCTTGTAACAATTTTACGTACCAGAATTTACAGTCGAATATTTTTTCTTTTCTTTGACAGGTTTTAACATTTTTAGTTAATTAAATTTTTTTTTGTGCAATTAGAATGATCAGAGCTCACTCTCTGTTCCTTGTACATACCATTCTCCCTGTTAGCAGATATAACTATGCAGCTGTTAGACAACTTGTTCAGCAGGATTCCTTTTCATTAAAGGCAATAAAAACACCAAACAGTACAGTATGTGCTTTGAATCTGACAGAGGAGAAGTGGTTATTAAGCAATCCACCTGCACTAGAAGTTTTAATTTCCTTAACATGTGACAAACAACATGCCCAATTGGGTCTCAATTTGCACATCACTTCCTCTCATTGACATGTGAAAATAAAAGCACAGTTCAGATTATAAATCTTATCACTCCCAGCTTTTTTAAAAACCTTTAGAGTTCAACCTCTTATTATTATTTTTTATTTCTTTTTCAGATGCAGACAGATCTGTAGAAGTGATCATGGCTTGTAAGGGGTCTGTCTCTTTTCTGCTTGGTTGATGCTCCAGGCCAAGCTGCAGAGTTTCAGAATTCTGATCTCTAGCGTCAAATTGGGACAGTTCGATGCTGGGACACCAGGATGCTCGGACTCCCATCCGCTCAGATGAACTGCTACCGATGCTGAGCCGCAGGACCTCTATCTCTATCTCCCATAAACTTTGTATGTATAGCAGATGCTTTGACACCTACAACACCTTCACTGTGAATGCACCTTTATTGTTGCATTCAGTGTAGTTAAAAGGAAAATAATCTATATCTTTCCAATCCCATATAAATAACATTACCCGGTCTGCCTATTTCCACTTAAGAAACATCAACCACTCCGTCCCTCCCTTACCCCACACACTACTGCCATGCTTGTGCACAGCCTTGTCACCTCCAGACTACATTACTGCAACTCCCTCCTCTTTGGACTTCCTCAGAAATCACTCCACAAACTACAACTGGTCCAGAACTCAGCTGCTCGCATCATAACAAGAACTCCCTCTATCCCCCACATCACTCCGCGGTTAGCGGTTAAATCAAATGATAGCTCTAGTTGGTTACATACATCGGGTGGTACATATGGCACTTTTGGCATCAGACTACATGCAATAATGCTGGGAAAGATTCCTTTTTCACAGTAAAATTTCATGAGATTCCTCTTTGAAGGTGTGGACTCAGCATCGATGTTCCTTGGTCAAGGAAATGCCCCTGGGTGTACCAATCCTCTTATATAGGATGGGGCCTTTATTTCACTCAAGTACATTTTGGTCCAGGCCATTATTGGAAGGAGGCCAGAATTAGAGGCAGGCCTCTATTTGATCAAAACAGACTACCAATGGAATGAATAAAAACGAGATTTTGTCTCTTTGAACCTATAAAATAGTAGGTTCATTTATTGAAAAAGTACAGTTACCATAACGGTATACAGAACATTATTCAGACTTCTTCCAGCGGCTGCAATTTTTCTGCACAGCAATAAAAGAAAAGAAAAAAAGACACAGAATGGAATCTTGGCCAAACTGACTTGCGAAACAAAATTTCGCTGTTCTGCCATCACAGCGAAGTTTTATTTGAGGCAGGCTAAGTGGAAGTAGGCTGTGAGTATCATATATTTCAAGGGAAATTCAGAACAACGAAGGCCAACAAAGTTCTGTCATTTCAACGCTGCCTGGTTACAACCAGACCTACCGGTTATCACATTTGTCTTTCAGATCAGAACGATTGTGTAAGGCCACTACGATCTCTGTGTAAGGATGGGACTTCCCATGCTAATGGATTGGGGTCATTACCAAACATTTCCCCCCTGTGGTACCTGTATGTTACTATCACAAGTTGTTGAGGACTGCCCAGAACATCGTTGGTTCATATTATAGCACGGCCTGTATACGAGCCCGGCCATTATTTACCTTCGCCGACAGTGAGACTGGCCATTGTTAGAGACCCGGCCGCTAATGGAATACAGGCCAATATTAGAGGATTTATGGTAATTTAATCATGATTTTGTACTTTTTGTGACAACTTGTCATTTGGGAAAAGCCTCAGCACTGATTGCTGTAGGCATGTCTTTGTCTCAATTAAATTATTAAAGTGAGTATTGATAATTTTTGATAATTGTTGTCTTGTAAAAATTAAGAATAAAAATCAATAAATAAATAGAATAAATGATTTATCCTGATATAATAAAATGATATTATAATAACATTTTGCTGTTTGGGATAGGCTTTATATGATATGCACTCTCTCTGATGAAGAGGAGAATTCTGCCCTCTTCTGGATCAAATGTCCGATTGCATTTTAAATTAAGCTTTAGATATAATTCAAATTATTAGTCATGGCCAAAAATGCAAGCAACCCTACGATTTTTAATAAAAGGAAGTATTTTTCCAAGAAAATTGTTATAATTACATGTAGTTTTACACATGTATATTTCTTTTGTGTGCCTGAGAAAAACAAAAAAAGAGGATAAAGCCAATTCAATATATATTAACAGAAAAATTGTTATTATATATTATTACAAAATTGAGGGTGAATAACTGTTTCAAACATAGGATTTTCATTTAAACTCACCCATAGTAAGAAACGGGTGTGGGCAGCAAAACAATCACATTTGAAATGAGATAAAGGAGAAGTTAACACTATATTTGTACTGATTTCTGTGTGACACACTTTGTATGGAGAACAGCAATTATCCGAGGATTTCAGTGCCAAAACTGTGAAATTATCCACATTCTAAAGGTTACAAGTCAATCCTCAGATATCTTGATGTAGTGTAGAGTATCTCTGAAATTATCTCTGAAATTGTCCCATCATCCCACTGTAGCTAATCCCCCTGGATTTGGACAAAACAGAAGAGTTGATGAAAGACTGTAACACAGAATATCCTTAACGAGCCGTCCTAATGGAGTTGAAAAGAGATATCCAAGCTGTCCTGCAACCTGAGGTTAGACTAGTGTTAGAAAGAACTATCTATCAACATTTCAATCAGCTGAAATTATAAAGCAGGGAATCCAGGAGGACTCCACTACTGACAAAGAAACATAAAAACCGAGACGGTAGTTTGTCAAAATATGAGTAATCAAAAATCTTGCAGAGAAAATGGCTTTATTGGTAAAGCTTGTCATTCTGCTGTCTGCTGAAAAGATAAGAAAAAAAATAGCATGGTACCTCCAGCCAAGTATTTTAAGTTCATAGATATTTTGTTTGTTTGTTTGTTTTTTTTTTTTTTTACCTCTGACACTACATGACCTTTCAAAGAGGAGTTGTCTAAATGTTTAGTTAAGGGGTGTGAGAAGTTTGTTGATTATTTTAGGAAATAAGTGATTAAATATGTTTTCTCTAAAGGGATGCAACTAAATATTAATTAGAGAGTACCAATTACTTTCACTGGAATAATTTTTGGAGTTTTACATTAAACTATAAAAGATTAGGTTTTCAATTCTGCAAAAATTCCCAGGTGACAAAATTTTTAGCCATAACTACTAAACCGATATGAATAATGAGTCTAGTACCTTGGAACTGTTATGGTTCTCCCCTTGTGTACTTCTTTTTGAGTTTCTTTTTAAAGTTTTCATTTTTGATTTATGTTATTCTGTGTTTTCTTGTCCATTGGGTTCTTTTCCACTTTGTGTTATTTTTATGCAGTTTTGTCTTTCTTTAGTTGCTCTCTATTGCCCCCTTGTGCCTTTTCTGCATTTCTTTGTGCTTTCTCACACCTGCTCTATATCAGATCATTAGCCCATTCTTTGTTCTATTCCCAATTTATACACCACCTCTGCAGTTCCTCATTGCTGGTATCTTGTTGTTTTGTTGCTCTGTCATTGTTTGGCTCCTCATGTGTGTTTTCTCCTGGATTTTGTTTCTGTTGCCCTTTATTTTATTAAACCTGCAAGTACTCATCTCTGCATTTGGGTCATCAACCCTCACATTGGCAAGTACCTTATAAGCACAATATATTAATTCACCAATCAGATTGGTCTTGGTACAGGTGATATAATGCTGTGAATCATTTGGCAGACTTTACGTTGTTGAGTATTGACACAGTCATGTCTTTGATCTTAAGTAATACGTTTATTGATAGAAATCTATTTTTGGCGAACAGTAGCTACAATTTACAAATGAAGTCACAATAGGAAGCAGTTAGAGAACTGGGAATTGTGAATTACATTACAATATAAACAGGTAGAGTAATGTCATTGAATAAGCTTAGGTCATAACAATCGGACTAAACTATCACAACCCTGAGATAAATAAAACTTTGATATTAATTTCAAACATACAACAATCAAGCAAGATTACCCACTGCATGCTTTTTTGTTCGTTAAAATTTTAACTCATGTGTTACAGAGAAAAAAATGGCATCTATGATTACGATAAATTATAAACAGACATAAGTTGGTACTTTTCTGCCATTATGCAGTACCTGCTTCAAAGATAAAAACAGATCTATTAGAGTGTAAATCTAGGGTCTGCTCCAGACATCGTTATTGCCTTCATAGTGTGCAAAAAACTGTCTCAAAAATATAACATTAATGTGTCGATTCAGATAATTATTGGTTATAAGATACTTTCGAAATTGCACTGTTAATTCAATTCATTGACATTATTCCATATGCTCATTTTTTAAAATTTACTTCTAATAGATTGAAAACTATTGCTTGTGTTTGATTGAGATAGGATGATTCTCAGCATTTCAGAGGATTATACTTAATAAAAGATTCTAAAATTTTTTTTATTTCTTTCCAAGACTTAAATACATTAGTGGCAGCACTAGAATGAAAAAATATAGCAGGATAGTAGAAGAGTGATCATATCTGTTGCCTCAGAGGCAGCCCTAAAAACATTAAATCTCCAGAAAAATCTTAGCAGAATCTGACCCTTTCTGCCCTTAGAATTTTTTGTCTGTTTATTGATCTCCTTTGCTACTTCAGTTTTCTCTAACAGTGCAAGCTAAGCAAAGCTGAAAGTATAAATTATTCGTAGATGCAGGATAATTTTCATTTGTCCACAATTTGACTATTTACATGTTCAGAATATAGATCTTTACTTTTACCTCCCAATAAGGATGCATGTAGGCCTACATACATTGATATAAGGAATGCTGTGCTAAGTTTGGGAAACTTTTTTCTCCAAAGAATCAAACCTTATTATTCAACCTGCATCAGAGAAACTGAACCGGACTCATTCTTACACTCTTGTTTTGATCCAAACCCGAATGCAGCATAAAGTGGTTCATTGAATGTGGTCTGAAAGGTATGAAGGTGGATCTTTTTTATTGAGAGCACCATCCCAGGAAGTGAGTAAAAAGACACAGTGCCTGCAGACCAGTCCAAATACACTGCCAGTCTGTTGGAGCTGATAGGTTGGTATGGTTTTATGACAGTTTGTTTGTTATTGTGCCAGGCAGTGAAACCCTGAGAATCACAGGAAAGAATCCAAGAGTGATCATTTAAACCAATGCAGCACTCCTCACTCTCCCCCTTCCTCCTGATTCTTTTGTACGTCACTCCTATTCTGATGCTCCCTCTCCATCGGACCTCCCAGTAGCAGCGACCAGTCAGACCATCTCTGCACAGCATTTGTTTCCAGGTGTCAAACCTCTCTGGATGATCAGCATAGGTCTGCTTCTCTTCTACCATCTCTGCCTGTTTGTTGTCTTCACTTAGTAGGAGATTTTTGTTTGCTGTGTTGGGATCCAATTTTTGCTCAAGGAAAACTGATAATAGAAAATAGACAAGAGTCACTACATAATCTCAGAAATATAAATTGTTGTTGTTATTCTAACCTTGGCATTATTTAGACTACAAAATAGTTTATAACATATTGATTTATTCTTTAATGGATTTAAAATAATGCCATACAATTGATTCAATCTGTTGATGAGATTAGAGTAACTGCCCAGTGACTGTTACGAACTAAAAAATAAAATGAGCCATATATAGTAAGAAATTACAAAAGGGCTTAAAGTAAAACAGTGAAACAGGCAAATTTATCCACGGTCATTTGTAAGGCAATCTAATAAATAATTGAACTTTATTAATCTCACACTGGAGGAATTTACCTCTGCATTTGACCCATCCCTATGGGAAGCAGTGGGTTGCCATTGTGCGGTGCCCAGGGAGCAGTCTGGGGTTAAAGGTCTTGCTTAGCGACCTAGAGTGCAGGCTGTTGGGATCGACCCGGGTAAAAACACAGATGGCTTAACTCCAGTGATCTGGTTTGTCTTAGAGATTATATGTGTGAAATAAATACATTGAATTTAACCCACACCCTTGGGGATGCACTGGGCTGCCATCGTGCGACGCCTGGTGAGCAGTCTGGGGTTAAGGGTTTTAGACCCAGAGTGGCAGTATGTGGCGGTGGGGCTTGAACTCAGAACCTCAGAATTCCGAGCTCTATACCCTAACCACTAGGTCGCAACTGCCCCAAGTGTGCTACACATTAAATCCTTAGCCAGCTGGCTGCATTTATGCAATTGCAGCATCACACAGCCAAGAGAGAGCTGGGACTACCTCACTTACCAAGTTGGGTTAATGACAGTAATCAGATCACATTAGTAATCATTCCTGCCACCTTGGTCATTTTACAAAACACACAGAGCAGATAAAGGTATTTTATTAAAAAAAAATGTCTGTCTTGATAAGTTAGTGGGGCTGTGTTACCTCAAAATGACGTAAAATGAAATTGAATATAAAATAATAAGCTTATAACTAAAAATATTGAACTTACACCGTTGGGGTGATGGATTCAGGCGCAGCTTTCCACAATGATCTGTTCTGTGAAAGAAGATAGAATAATATGTCATAAATATTTACAGAAAATATGTGTACTATGATCAGTTACATAAAGAAATATCAAAAATATTTATTCATTTTAAGAAAACTAAAATTACTTTAGAGTCTGTAGCCTCCAGCCTTGGTCTTTCATGCCAGCAGAAATCTTTCTCAGCTCTGATTCTCCTGGATGGTTAAAGCTCAGATCAAGCTCTCTCAGATGAGAAGGGTTGCAGGTCAGAGCTGAAGCCAGAGAAGCACAGCCTCTCTCTGACACCAAGCAGCCTGATAAGCTGTAAATAATTATCCAGCCATATTGTTATAACATGGCTATGAAACGTTTACTCTTTTCAGTGCTAATGCAAATATTGTCATTGGGAATACAAACACAATAACAAATTTATTTATATTTCTTAGTTGGAATGTTTATTTTGTTTTAGTTTTTAAATACTGACCTAAGGACCTCCAATCTACACTTTTTATTCATAAGTCCTTGAGAGAGGATTTCTACTCCATCATCGCGCAGGTCATTGTCACTCAGGTCCAGCTCTCTGAGACACGATCTGTCAGCGGCCAACATTGATGCAAGAGGTATACAGCTTCTCTGTGACAGGTTACAACTACAGAGCCTAAAACACAAATTGCAGATGGATATTTAATTACTCTTTTCCGTCTTAAATACATAATAACATTTTCTTAGATTATTTTAATACTTACAGAGACTTCTTTGTTGCTTTCATCACCGGCTGAAGCCATATGAGTGCCTCCTTTGAATCAGAAAACTTCTTGAAGTTGAAAATATCATAATTTCTTTGTGAATACATCAAGACATAGGCCAATGCTGACCACTGAGAAGAAGTGAGCTTCTTTGCCCAACCCTTTTCCATCAGGTACAGTGTCATCTCCTCTTCTAGAGAATGGTCATTCAGTTCATTTAGCCAGTCAAAAATTCTGATGCTTTCCTCAGATGAAGGAGAAACCCTAATTTTCTGTTTGATGTTTTGGACAAGCATTTGTTGAACATCTGGTAACTGCATTGTTTTTTTAATTAGGCCTTGTAGGTGGTTTTGGTTGTTTTTCAGCGATAGTCCTAAAAGAAAGCGTGTAAACATGTCCCATTGTCCATCTGGACTCCCCAAAGCCTTGTCCACTGCACTCAGGTAAAAGAGTTTGAATTTGTTTTCTCGCTGCAAAGGCTTGAGACTTCTTCTCAACAGATTATTACTGGTCTTAATGAACTCTAAAAAGACATGAAGTGCAGCCAGAAACTCTTGAATGCTCTGATGCACAAAACCAAACATCCTTTTCTGGTTCAGTATGCTCCCTTCTTTAAAGCTCTCTGTAAACACTCCTGTGTATGCCGATGCAGTGTTTATGTCTATGTCATACTCCTTTAGGTCCTCTTCATAGAATATCAGGTTTCCCCTTTCCAGCTGCTCAAAAGCTAATTTTCCAAAAGCAAGTAAGATCTTCTTGCTCTCTGAATTCCAGATGGGCTCAGTCAACATTTTGTTTTGATACTTGGCATTGTCACGATTGATCTGTACGACCAAGAAGTGAATATACAACTCAGTTAGGGTCTTGGGTGGCTCTGTTTTCTCTTTACCTTTCATGACCTGATCCAGAACTGTAGCAGTGATCCAACAGAAAACAGGGATGCGACACATTACTTGGAGACTTTTTGATGTCAAAATATGGGAGATGATGCTGTTGGCCCGTTCTTTGTCTGGGTATTTTTGCCTGAAGTATTTTTCCTTTTGTAAGTCTGTGAACCCTCTGACCTCTGTCACGCTGTCAACATACTGGAAAGGGATCTGATTGGCTGCTGCCGGTCGTGTGGTTATCCATATAAGAGCTGAGGGAAGAAGTTTTCCCCTGATGAGATTTGCCACTACCACATGAATCGATGCAGGTTCACTAACATCTGTCAGAATCTGAGTGTTGCTGAAGTTGAGAGGTGGTTGAAGCTCATCAAGACCATCAAAAATAAACAGAACCTGGAAATCCTCAAAACAACTGATTTCTGCTTCCTTTGTTTCAGGGAAGAATTGATGAATAAGTCCAATTAAGCTGATGCTTTTAGATTTTAGCAAATTGAGCTCCCTGCATGTGTATGGGAAGATAAACTGTATATTAGGGTCGGCTTTGCCTTCAGCCCAGTCCAAAGTGTACTTCTGTGTCAACACTGTCTTCCCAATGCCAGAAACACCCTTGGTCACCAGCGTCCTAATTTTCTCATCTCTCTCAGGTTTAAAAATCTCCTCACAGCTGACGGTGGTTTCAGAACCACCTGGTACCAAAGATGCTGATTCAGTTTGTTTGACCTCATCTTCATTCTTGACTTCTCTCTCATCAGGTGCCACATAGAGCTGAGTGTAGATTTGACTTATACTCTTTGGGTTTCCTCTCTTGACATTGCCCTCGAAAAATTGCCGACTCTTTTTAGCCAAGTGGGACTTCAATTTAAATTGGTAAACAGCTGTTTGAGTTTCTGATTGAAAAAAAATAAATAATAGGTTATTGTGGATAGTATGTAAATATATCAAATAAATATAATCCTTTTTTAAGTTTATTATATCTTATTATAGCTCTATTTAATATTTAAAATTTGAAATTAAATCTCTTACTATTCAACAAAGATTCAGCGAGCCGCTCCTCATTCCTTCTCCTCAAGAAGTTGATTGTAATTTTCAGGAATGCATCTCTGTTGTTCTTTCTATGCATTTCCTCATCAGTTGTTTCCTCTTTCTTCTCACTATACCTCCCTGAGCCTTCTGGGCTCAACATGTTCTTCATTTTTCTAAGTTCACATGTTACAAAATGCATGATGTCGTCCTCAAGCACCTGGAGAAACACAAATTTCATATGAAACCTTTTTTACCACAAGACATCAAAATTATCTTTTATATTTGGAAAACCAGTCACCACAAACTAAAACTGCTACTGCCACCCAAGGACTTCAGAAGATGAACACTAATAATTAACAAATCTGCTCTTTCCACTGACTTACACAAAAAGAAATTGGAAACGAGGTGTTTGTTTGTATAATTAAACTAGTCATCTGCCAGTAACAACAAAAATGTGAACAAACAGGTTTTAAAAACTTGAGACTTTCCTGCTTAGGCAGGTGTTGCAAAACAAGTCTTAAACATTATAAGTATCATCACAAAATGATGTTTGTAGGGAGACGTATATACATATATATCAAAGTTTTAATTCTTCTAATTCTTCTTTTTAGAAAATATGTTCTAAACTTAATCTGAACTTCAATGAAGCTACACCAAAAAGATAATAGAAATAAAGTTGTACACCATACCTTGAAAACTGAGTCCAGGTGACTTTTATTCTCATGGTCACTAGACCTCCTTGATTGTCTTTTGTTAGAGAAAGGCCGCATCTCACTCAAACTGTTAGACAAAAAGACACAAAGTAAAGCCACATCTGATTATTGCGAAAGTTTTTACCACACCAATTATATTCAGAGAAATATATATTTTTATTGTCATGTCATTAGATCTTTATTTTGAAAGGATTTCCTCCCTGAATAATAATTGAATTAACAAACTTTAGTAATTCATCGGATCAAAATCACAAACTTGATCACTTCCCTTTTACAATTAACAACAAATGCAAGAAATGTAACAATGCAATGTTTTTACAACATTTACAAAAATATTCATCAAAGCTTCGGTAACACTTATAGTTTACATATCAGAATTTGCAATGTTGTAAGACTTTATACCTATTAATTTATCTTTATCATTTTTACACCCAACTCTAAAGTTCAATTTTTGTAGTCCATATTTAGTTTGCCTTATTGCTGTACTGCAGTGAACCTTTATTTGTGTGTTTTTCTTGTCTTATGTTCTATTCATGTATAGCACTTTAAGTTGCCTTGTTACTGAAGTGCAACAAAGAAACAGTTTTTTCTTAGAGGTATCAACACAGAGTTGGGTGGATAATTTATAAAACACCATTTCGTTTCTATACAATGAATTTATATAGAGACAATTCACCACACATGTGAATTAGCAAAGCATGTAGTCGACAGGGATGTTTAAAAACAGTCATACACTCAGATGTCAAGTCATATTAAGTCTGTAATTTCATGCAACTAAATGTACCATTCCGTATCTGTAAGCAGCCTAAACTGTTGTAATCATATTCCTGTTGTTATTAATCTAAAGCTTCTTTAAATGAAAGGAAGGAAGGAAGGAAGGAAGGAAGGAA